CTTCTTGTGAATTATTTTCCTGTGTTGGTGCTGTTCTGATTGTTTTATTCCTTGTTTTCCTGGTTTTAAGGGGAGCAACCCACAAGGTCGCTTCTCTGTAAACTATATTTTAATGTAACAATCCCCTTCACAGGCATGAGGCTAGCAACCCCGCCATGTAAACAAAGTTGCTACAGAAATTTCATCACGAGGAATCTCCTTGCGCTAAAAGAAAAGGTCTGTGTGTGGACATGGAATGTCCGCACCATGTACGAGATCGGCAAAGCTACCCAGATCGCAAACGAAATGAAAAGATACGGAATTCAAGTACTGGGGATATGTGAAAGCAGATGGAACGGGAATGGACTCACCAAATTGTCAACGGATGAGTCACTGATCTACTCCGGTCACTCAGAAGATAACCACATGCATACCGAGGGCATGACTATCATGATGTCACCAACAGCAACGAAAGCCCTGATGCAATGGGAGGCGATCTTGCCCAGGATAATAACCGCCAGATTCAACTCCAAAGGAAGGAAAGTGTCAGTTATACAATGCTATGCACCCACAAACAACGCAGACCTCGAAAAGGAAGAAGAATTCTACAAACAACTACAAGCAACAGTGGACAATACTCCAGCTGGTGACATTAAAATACTAATGGGAGACATGAACGCCAAACTGGGACCAGACAACACAGGAAGGGCACTCATCATGGGTAGAGACGCTCTCGGAGAAATGAATGAAAATGGAGAACTCTTCGCCGACTTCTGCGCCTTCAATGAACTAGTGACTGGTGGCAGCGTATGCAAACACAAAGATATCCCCAAGGCTACATGGGTGTCACCAGATGGGCGAACCAAAAACCAAATCGACTTCATCTCAATGCTGCTCAAGGAAGTGGAGGCGCAGCCTACCGGACACAAAAGTAAGAAGAAGGGCAGACGTTGGCTCATACCACTATCTCATACAAACGACAATCCAAATCAAATTAAAAGCTTTCAGAGAAACAGGAGCTGCAGATGGACCACAAGCCAAGTTCAACACTCAAAAACTGGAGGACGAGCACACAAAGGACATCTTCACTGCAAGCATAAAGGACAAAGCCGAGACACAAATCGACACTAGCGAAGAGGTCAGCGTCGAAAAGCACTGGAACAACTTGAAAACAGTGTGAAGTCAAACCTGCATGGAAGTTCTAGGCAGAAAGAAGAGACAGGACAAACAGTGCCTCACTACGGACACTTGGAGACTGATAGAAGAGAGAGGGATGGCGAAACAAAAGGTTACCCAGTGCAGGGACGAGCAACAAAAGCAGGAGTTGAATGCAAGCTACAATACACTGAACAAAAGAGTAAAGAAGAGTGCCAGGGAAGAGAAAAGAAAATATTATGAAGCCATGAAAAGTGAAGCAGAACAAGCTGCAGGCAAAGGAGACCTCGCAACACTCTACCAAACAACTAGGTACCTATCGGGCAAAAGTTTGACACAAATTAAGCTAGTGAAGGATGACAATGGAAAGTCACTCACCAAAGAAGTGGAGCAAAGGAAACACTGGGCTGAACACTTCAAAAGACTTCTAAATCGACTACCACCTACAACGCGCCCAACAATACCAACAACGGAGACAGAGCTACCAGTGAACACCAATCCCCCGACGAAATCAGAAGTCCTGAAGGCAATCAAGATGCTAAAAGCTGGAAAAGCCGCAGGACCAGATGGAATCCCAGCAGAAGCATTGAAAACGGATCCAGAGACAACAGCGGACTTGATGACGTCACTACTAGAGAAGGTGTGGAAAGAAGGCAAAGTACCTGAAGATTGGAAGAAAGGATACTTATTCAAACTACCAAAGAAAGGAGACTTAAGTCAATGCAAGAACTGGCGCGGAATTATGTTCCTGTACATCCCAAACAAAATACTAAGTCGCATCATCCTGGAGAGAATCAAACAAGCCTTGGATGAAAATCGCCGACCGGAACAGGTTGGATTCAGGAGAAACAATTCATGTATTGATCGAAGCGCCACATTACGGATCATCATTGAACAGAGCTTGGAATGGCAGTCACCTCTCTATCTCAACTTCATCGACTTTGAAAAGACATTCGACAGCGTCGATCGAGAGGTGATTTGGCAACTACTTCGCTACTACGCGGTGCCGCCGACAATTATACATCTCATCCAACAGTTGTACAGTTGTACGACAATGCTGCATGCCAAGTAATCCACAACGGGAAACTTACGGAACCCTTCGAAGTGAGGACAGGAGTCAGACAAGCTGGCTGCCTACTATCGCCAATGATTTTCCTGATTGCAGTAGATTGGATAATGCGACAAACAGCGGGCAATGAGCAAAAACAGGCATAAAATGGACTCACACAAAAACTTGGAGGATCTGGACTTCGCCGATGATATATGTCTGATTTCCCACAAACTGGAAGATATGAAAGTGAAAAGCAACAAGTTTGAGGAAGAAACATCAAATATAGGACTTCAGGTGAACATAGAGAAAACAGAGGTGATGAAGATTCCTGAGCAACACCAACAGCAACAACAACAGACAACAATCAGAATAAATGGGAGGGACCTGAAAGAAACAACCTACCTGGGAAGCATCGTTTCAACTACAGGCGGAACTGACGAGGATATCAAAGCAAGAATCGGAAAAGCAAGACAAGCTTTCACTACTCTCAAGTCTGTGTGGAGGTCAACAACACTCAGTATCAAAAATAAGATCGGGATTTTCAACTCCAATGTGAAGTCAGTGCTACTATACGGACCAGAGACTTGCACTGCGCGTCATAAAAAGCATCTCAAACAAACTACAGACCTTCATTAACAGTTGTCTTCGCTCAATACTCAAGATTAGATGGCCGGCCAGAAAAGATCAGCAACAGGGATCTCTGGGAGCGAACCAACCAGGAACCGATTGTGAAACAAATAGGCAGGAAGAAATGGAGGTGGATTGGCCTTACTCTGAGGAAACCATCAAGTGACATCACTAGACAAGCCATTGCTCGAGTGGAACCCGAAAGGGAAGCGGCGAGTTGGTCATCAGTGTGAGGGTGACTTGGAGGAGGTCATGTGAAGAGGAGATGAAAACGTGTGGGCAGACTTGGAGCCAGGTGAAGACTCTAGCAGAGAACCGAACGCAATGGAGACGCACGGCTGAAGCCCTATGTTCCTCTAGGAATTAAAGGAAACAATAATGATAATATTACGGCGTTAGTCTATCTGTCGGAGGTCGTGTTTATAGTGCTTTGATATGCAAACTTTTGCTGTATGCCTGTGAAACCTGGTCTCTCTGAGCTGGTGATGTGCATCGACTCTGACTCCGTAAAATCACTTATGTCCGATGAAATTTTCATGCAAATAATTCTGACGTCTACCAGCGCGTGTTTGTATTATCTCGAGATTGTCTTTCAATAAATGTTGTCATCTTGGAACACTGGCTTCGCTTGTTTGTACATATCCTATGAGTGCTGTCTCAGTAGGTGCCATATTTCCCGCTGTTTTCTGGCTCTGGAACAGGGAGAGAAAATCAGAAGGGTCACCCTATTACGTTGTGTCGTCGGTTGAAGGGTAGTTATGTTGGGGTAGCATCTGTCGGTGCATCACCACACTTTTGGTGGTGGATTTATGTTTTATCTGATATACGTGAGAATGGTGATTGTTGTGGAAATGCTGAAATTTGCTCCTTTCCTTTCTTTCTGAAAATAATATGAAGTAATGAACCATACTGTGAATTTTCTGCATAAGTATGCTCACCTGATTTCTTAATCCTCTCCCTTATATATTTTAATAACACTGTCCCATTGTTGTTTTATTCTTATTGTGTGGAGCATCTCTTGATGTATTTTGAAGTTGTTGTCAGGTATCTACAATGACCTCGTATAGGAGTTAGATATTAGTGGAAAGCATGAGGAGTGATCTGTTTAAGTTAATGGGAAAACAATGTCAAGCACCATCACGTTTATACATCCACAGATTATGTGAATACTTTTCAGAGTTGTAAAGATAATTTCATATGCAGTCCAAATAAACTGGTACGTCGATGGTAGAATGCTCACCAATCATGCACATGATCTGGTGTTTGATTCCTTGCCAGCGCACATCTGTACTTCCCGTAGTTGACAGTAAGCCCTAGAAAGAGGGAAGCCTAGGTGTGAGGCTAGCGACCCCACTCCGTAAAAAGTGCCACTGCTACCGAAACTTCAAAGCTCAAGCTTAAAGCCCTATGTTCCACTCGGAACACAGAGGAATAAAATAGAAAAATTAATATGTAGAAATCTTGTAACTATTCAAACTTGATTTACACGTTTTTTCTTAGATGAAATGAGGCATCGGTATCCACAGGGTGACTCATCCTAGTTTGCAGTCTTCTATGTGGTTTAACTTCCAGACAGTGCGTACGAGATTTGAATGCCATTCCATCGACTAAGATTGGATCGGCAACTTAATCTCATCAACCCACACATCATCAGCATAATTCACTCCAAAATATAGTGAGATGCAAGTGACCATCTAGTAGCACTTTATTTCATTTTGCAGCATAAATATGGATTAATTCAGGCTTTATCTTCTTTCCAAATGACCACATAGTAAACATGTTTTGTGTCTTTGTTGAAAATGCTGAATTACTAGTAATTACTAGTTCATCTTCAGAGAAGGATGACAGCGAATAGTTATAAGGGGAGAGGGTTAATCCACTTTGACGTTATATACCGAAACTGTAACTTTACGCAGAAACGTGAAGACTACTGCGAAATTTCTTCAAATCATTGATTGATCAATTCTTCTTTTACTGGTCTTCAGTTTATTCATATAAATAAAGTTCCTATGTTATTTCAAAGCTTTCCAGGTTATCCATTTACTATTCAAAAACATAATTTTTGAATTCTATTCACTACGTCATACCCTAAAAATTATATTTCTTTAAACTAGTGTACATCAGCTTCTTACTCATATTCAATACAAATGATAGTTAAGATAAACTTCAGTCAGGAAAAAAAACATACCGATGTTCGACCTTATGAGTTCTGTTTAGTGTAGGATGTGTATTTTTTGTATGCCATGCATTAGTTCCAGTTGCTTCTAGTCGACGAACTGTAACGATTTTAGCATCTGTACAATATTGTGAATTCGTTTTTTCTGTTTTAGCTCGCCTCCATTTGACAGGGATGTGTGTCACATTGAAGTCTAAAGTTGATGAGCTATCAAGTGAAAGGTCAGTGGCATATCTTGGTGAATCTGTGTTAACTGTGCACAAAGATGTTCCACTGATTTTACTCATACGTGCTGGTGATGTAGGAGTCTGTTGTCAATTCGAGTATTGGAGACACGTTAGAAAATGTTTTTCGATGGGAGAAAAAAATAAAAGCAAAAAGTAAGATGATTCACACACATAATTAAGTTGGATATTATATATATATATGTATATATATATATATACATGGTCTGTCAGTTTCACGTATGTATTTGACTTCATAGTCACTATAATAATATTAGACACAAAGTTATTCATTTTCGAGGGATCATTAGAGTCCTTAGTCCTTACAAGGACCCGCATTTATACCTGCGCAATGTTAAAACGCCATAAATGTGCTGTATTTCGCTACTGTGAATTTAGATCTGAAAATTTGCTTAACTTCGTGTAGAACGACTTTCTATGTAAAGTAATTTGGTTTCCCTTCTTATCCATCAATTTTTAAATTTAAATTTCATGTTGTCACTGGTGAACTCTGTTCATTGTTTGATGTTTGCATAAACTTTGACTTAGTAATTTTATTGATTTAACGTATTTCGTTCTCAAGCATATTTTATTACTCACTAACACTGATTTCTGATGTCTGTCAGCACTTTACATGGTAGTTCTTTACCACTACTAAGTCATGTATGTTTAACAAGAAGTGAGAAATTGTTACTCTTTCCTGAAAAGTGTGTTTGTTTACAAATATTCCATGAAATATACTTGGCGTCAGGTATGGTTTGTTAAGACTGTAAGACCTGTGTGAACGAGTATTCCAACAATGTTTCTACAGAGTGATAGAGCAGTGAGAATGGTAAGTTGATTCGGCGAAACATAAGTAGGAAGGTCTTTGTAAATCTCAAAGACTATCTTCCTTCTTCAATGAGACAGGAAAGAATAGGATTTACTCGAAGACTGCCTTATGGGAAATATCTAATAGAAGGAAGCTAATTAATTGAAATTATGGTGTCAAACAAAGTTTATGATCTAATGAAATTTTTCTATCTTTACCGGAAATAGAAGAAACTGTTGTCTGTACAAGTTCCCCGTTTTCCCCATTGTACAATTTTTTTATTCCATCACGTCCTCAATGGAACATAGGGCTTCAAGCTAGAGGCTTGAAGTTTTTGTAGCGGTGGTGATCACTTTTACTAGCTTTATTTCTGGCTTAGCGAGGTAAAGGAGTGCGTCGGCCGGGGATGGAACCCCGGACCATGTGCATGGTAGGCGAGCATCCTAACCTCTGTGCCACCCTGTTGTACTGCTTAATATTACTTATTATTGTTAACTGCGCTACTAGTAATGATATTTTTATTGCTGTTTCTGTCACATAATTCCTCCCTTGTTGCCGTGCACAGTGATTAGCTGTACGATTTACTGTGATCTAGTTATTTAATAATAATCTTAATTTGACCTTAAAGACAAGCGGATACAAAAAATTAAATAAATACTATTTTAGGAAAATAGCTTCATGTTTTCCTCTCTTTGTTCATGTCGTTTGTGCTGATAAAATATTGTTTATTTATTCTTTTATATGAGACTTCGAAGTGTATATATGTGTATATACTGGACATCCTATCTGAAGCACTAAACGTATTTTTTATGTGAGACTTCAGTGACTACTTATCAGTAATAAATTTGTTTCCGCTGAAAAATTCTACCGGTGCGACTGGTTAAATTCCTATTATTGACTGTCAAAACTAAGGAAAACAAACAGCTTGTAGTGCATCTGCTTAACTTGAGATACATAAAAATTTTTAAGATGCAATTTAATATTTATTTATTTCTGAAGAGAAAACTTTCAGTATGACGGGACCATATCATAAGGGCAGGCCATAATCCTCATTTCATATAGAGTAACATTTAGCGGGTTTTACAAACATTTTCACTTAGTAACAAAAGATTTCACGGTTTCGTGTCAGATGATAAGTCATACCTACTAGATGTTGGAGGTAACTTCATCTGATTGGTTGCACATAAGTAAACAGAGTGACCAACAGGTCAGAGATTGGATACTCAGCTAGATAAACCGTGAATACATGCTTCATCAATAAATTAGCCTAGTTGACATCCAGATTACTAACTTTCAGTGTTTTCATGACTGTCTGATGATCAACTAGGTGCATTAGAATGGCAACCATATTCGGAATAATTGCGTTCTAACTAAGTGAGTTTGCATACTCACCTTTTCTTGATCAAGATGCTTATTCTGTTCAGAATTTTAAAACAAAAATACTAGTGTAGTATTACACGAAGACAGGTTTTAACTAGCCCACTTCGATTTTTCACACTACATAAAAGTAGTCAAGCGACCGTGTTAAAAAGATCTAGCCAGTAAGAATAAGTTCTGTGTCGATATATCTACGTGTCTACTAAAACACAAGTAAAGTAAGTATAAAAAAGGTCATGTAATTTCAGAACTAAAGGAAGATTATTTGGCTTATGAAATGTGTGAATATCTATGGAAAGTTAGTGAAGTTTCACTAAATCGACTGACTGATATGCCACTGAAACAAACAACTGTTACTCGAACCTTTCTTTTCTTAATATACGTATATCCAATTGAATGTATCTGCAAGACGCAGGTTTTGTATGTAGTAAATTGATTGGTATCACATCTAATAAGAAACTATACGGTCCTGGGTTGGATTGTACATTTAGTATTGAATACCAAGAACTCTGTAATTATCCTATGTCTTTTAGTTCTCAAAAGTTCTCTAACTGACAAAAGTCTGTTAGAAAGGACAGAGCTGATGTTCAGTGACCACTTAATATAATAATATAATATAATAATATGATAAATATTAAAAGCTAATTGATTTCAAAACATTCATGTACCTTATTATTCGTGTTTCTTCTAAACTGGTTAGAATGATCACGTATTTCACTTATGGGCGTTTCTTTATCTGATAACAGAAAAGGAAATAAAAAGACAGTTATTAGAATGATCGTCAACACATAAGTGCTTAATTCAGGGGTTTTTCTTTTTGAATTAGGGGAAATTAAAGTGTGATGCTTCACATTTTTAACAGAAGTATCAGAAATGTAGAATTTTTAGATTTTTTAAAAGCCTCTCTGATTCGTACTGGTTGTACATCATGAAGGGGAATAAGTAATAATCTTTAGGTTGTGAGGTAATGTTTAAGCATCACTGACAATAATTCCATGATAAACACAACTTAGTTATGAAATCTTCTAAAGCCAACGGCTTGGATAATTTTGAACTCCCAACTCTAAGTATCAGTATTTCAGATTATCAAAAGAATTTATGAATTTTCCTCAAAACGCTATCATTTACAACTCCGACAAACTGTTGTTCTACTCGATTGCCACCGTTAATATGTCCACCATTCATCAATACTAAGTGGAGAGCGTCTACAATCCATATGCAGCTTTTTTTATTCCTTTACGTTCTCAGTGGAACATAAGGATTCAGGCTAGAGATTTGAAGTTTCGGTAGCAGTGGTGTTTATTTTTACGGGATGGCCTCGCTAGCTTCACGCTCAACCTTCCCTCTTTACCAGTCCTATTACTACTAGCTTAGCAAGGTAAAAGAGCGCGTCGACCGGGGATCGAACTCCGAAAAACATGTGTGGTTGGCGAGCATTCTACTGCACTGCCATCGACGCACTTGCATGCAGCTTACATAAACCTAATTTTACTACAAGTGACCAATTCTTGATAGTTGCAAACAATCATTTTAGCCGTTTTAGTGGTATTCTGTAGGTGAGGTTAGTGTTCATTCTTATTTCCCGCTAAGCACAATGGCACGAAATATTATATACAATCACTTTTGTGGTTACTACGAGGTATAATGCAGCTGGCATACTGATGGGTGATAAGAGTACGTAGACAAGAAGCAAATGTAAGGGCCAAAGAAGAGTATTACTTTAGTAAATAAAGCTAGAAAATCTGAAGTCACTGCAGCTCACACTTTTCATAATACAGGGCAAAGTGATATTGTTATCTTTATATAAACAATAAGTCGATATACTTTTAAAATTGTTCATGAGTGCTGAGTTGCGTTTTCGCTTACCTCCAACTACGTCAAACGCGTTCACAAACAAAATTACGAATGAAATAGGAGGGACAAAAATTTCCCGAAGAATTTTGATTTTTGCGAAAATAATCAAAAAATATTCCTGATAGGGATGTTAATGAAGGCATCTAGATTAATAGTGTAACTTCTACGATTAAATATAAAAACCGAAAGGCATTCAAAAAAAAAATCATAACTTGTTTCTTGAGCTACAGATTTTCCGTGTTTCGCTATGGAGGATTAACAGATATTCAGTCTGACTAGTGTCTCAGTGTGTGTTTGAAGATTATGTTAAGACATGTTAAAATGCATGAAATATTGTAATTTTAGAAGACTAATTACAAATTCACTTGGAAATAAATATCAGTAAAACAAAACTGCTACAAGGCTGTCTCTGGGCTAGCGCCTAGGATAAGCATAAACGCTTATGCAGTCTGAGTAGCTACTTGAACATATCTGTCATTCAAATGGCTTGTCAAAATCTAATTCAATATTTTTTGCATAACTCGGTGGATTAAAAATAAATTCTCAGGATTTTAAAATAAATTGGTATTCTAGTTCCAGTTTAGAGAAAATTTTATGTATTATGAGAAGATGGTTGCATTCATCTCTTCAAAAACTATGGCTAGAGTTCAACTGTTGCTTCCTTTGTGTGTATTCATAAATAATTGAATGGGTTACCTAACTTTTTGATCTTTTGTAGACATTTCCTGTATTTCTATCAAAAATTACTGCATACCAATTCTTCTGACAACCAAATAGGAATATTAATTAATCCTTTTTTTACTGGTGAATGCTTTCAGTATAATCGGAACAGATTACATTTCGACGTATACATAGAAGTTAGTTCATTCGAATTATTAAATACATAAAATCAATCGAAAGTGCAATTTGAGCCTGATTTTTATGACTTGAGGCAATAGCCAACAAGGTGTGTCTGCAATTTTGGGCAGGTCAATTTTGAATCAATCACTAAAACATTTTTTATTTAACATTGAAGTTTCGAAACTACCCATCAGGACTACATATATTAATGCTTTGATTATTGGTAGCCATCTAACACTGTATATTAAGCAAATGAGTTCATTTATGATATTATCTTGTGTGTTGGTGGTTTAGCGGTAGAGTGCTTTCCAACCACGCACGTGATCCAGGGTTCGAGTCCCGGCTGGCGCACACCTTTACCTCCCGTAGCCAGTCATAATCTCGAAAAGAGGGAAGGTTGGGAGTGAGGCTAATAGCCCAACCCTGTAAGAAACATCAGTTCCTAAAACTTCAATGCTAAGAATTGAAGCCCTATGTTTCTAAGATATCAGGTACTCATTATTATGGAGCGCCCTTCGGCTTATAGATTGTAGACACCATTGTTAAAGTAATAATCTATTCAATTTTTGTATTGTTCACCTCTTAGTTTTCTATATAAAAAATTTACCTGATTTAATTTGACTATTCTCTTGAGTTACTTTCACTTTGGTCTCACCGTCAAAATCTGCATCCCTCTTACTAGAGAGATTACCAGTTGACAGATCCATCTGTTATAAGGATGAATGATAAAGAAATTACTGATTATGCAATGAGTAGATAAAAATACTTGGTAAGTACTTTGTACTGCAAAGTATATGGAATAAAAAATAAAGGTGATTCCCTTGTTACAGAAGCAAAATATATTCTCTGAGGGATAAACGTGAAATGTTTCGATGCATTCAGTTCGAAAAATCTGTTTCCCCACTGAAATTAGTCACAAATTCTGTACAACAGTTCCGACTGACTCAAATTTGATTGAGACATGTGAGAAAACTACTCAGCACTTTTCTTTTTGAGTAAAAATCAAGATAATATAATTGCCCACCATAATCATGAGACTGGTCAATAGATCTTAACCCTTCTGTCTGTTTGTGTCAGTAATTGGTGTCAGTCAATTTATCACAATCGAACACTTACCCTCATAGTTTTATAAAGGAGAAAAAAAGATCCCCCTGTAGCTCTGTGCTGGAACACCTAATCGAATCTAGACACCAAGCGAACCCACAAAAGAACTTCAAAGTTATCTACAAAATACGTGGGGATTTCGCTAAAGTAGTACGAATCAAACTTCTTCAAACCTCAGAAGCAATGGTAATTCAAATGTTAAATCCTGAACTCTGTATACAAAAGTAGTTTGTTCAGTCATTAAATCTACAATGGACCTGATCTATCTTAACACTGCGTAATTTTTGTTTTTGTTTCTTAATTGCATTATTTTCTTCCCCCACCCCATATTAAATCTCTATCCGTTATTACCATTGTTGTTAACCTGACTCTCGTTCAAATTTTAGTTGAATTCTACTGAGCCCTGTCAGTTATACTACATCACTCAACTTACTTATCTAGTTTTATCCTAGTTTCTACCCGATTAACGCTTTCTACATTTCGCAATTTATCATCGAAAAAATTTACAATTCTGGTGACACATCTTTGGAAATATTACTTTTGTTGCCAGGATAATTTACTATATAAATGCGATTGTGCAGCTTGAGAATGATATCGCCAAAAACAGTAACTCTTTGCTGAACGCCTTTTTTGTATCTAGTAAACTGCGGGTAATCCACAAGCGGCAACATTCATGCTGTCGCACGTCTTAGTTTTTATGCATTCATTGACACTCTCATTACGTGAGCATGCATTCTCTTTTGAAAAATATGAAGAACTGTCATATCGTGTGTTGCTACAACTGATGTTACCATACAGGTTGAAGAGTAGTCCTTATCCTCGTGTGACCATGGAAGGTAAGGTCTTTTCTTATGCATCATGCGAACTGGCATGAACAATGATCAAAATCAAATTGGTAGAACATCCCATGACTTCTACACACTAACTGTCACCATAATTAATTCGGTCAGTATTTATCTAACACTTCTAGAGTCAAACTTTAAAATCATATTGCTTTGTCTCATTTTAAATTGAATACGGCTTTAGTAAAACAGATTGGAACGAATGATAAGTACATCTGATTTCAATCCAACTACGGTTGAATGGTGAACGAATTCGGTGCATCTGAACTGCATATTAATGCATTTTGTCCACGGCTCCAGCAGTTTCTGTGGTGAAGACACTGAATCTTCATTCCCCCTAAATGACAGACAGTTACTGCCCACTCCATTTTCTATTTATTTAACGGTTGTTTCGAAGAAGTTTTCATTTAGCTTGCTATATCCTCTATTTTTGAGATGTATCGATCTTTTCCGAATGAAACCACGGAAATCTATTGGATTTTACTGCCTTCTAACCGCAGATTATCAACCAGTTCCACCTCTGTTTCCACATCAAACTGGATAAGATGCTAATCTTCTGAGGAAAGAATATCGGTATCATGCTTGGTTTTTGGTTATCTCCTCGCCAAATACAAACTCCATCTTTTCATAAATAAGGTACGGGTTAGAAGACTCCATAACTTTATTTTATGGTTCATTTGTTTGCAGACGCACGTGTAGAAATTGTTGTGTAGGTGTTCCAGAAGTATCAGTAGGGTTGATGGTTCGTCTGTGCACATCTCTAGCCTGATATGGGTGGTCGCCAAATTTCTGAATGACTGGTTTCAACACAGAACTCTGCACCGATGTGGAGCAGTTCAAGTCACCACACTTCACTCAGCACATAAAGCCAGATAAGAAACACAAAATAGAGACAGTAAACAGAGATATGAGGCAAAAAGCAGTATCGAAGAACAATATAGTTTTATTGGGTATTATAAGTCACAATGATGCCATGACCTCACATTTTAGAAGCACGTGCTTATTTGGATAACACTGTAGGAGGTGATCACTGTTGTCGGTTCGCTGGCTCGCAACTTCACAAATATTCAGCTTTCCTACCCGAAGGTTAAATACCATACTCATTGTATACCTCTGTCTTCCATCAGTACGAAAGGAATTTCACCCCTCAGTCACCTTGTAGATAATCGTCGCTATTATGACAACTGCTTTTAGCCTAGTGACTATCTCTCCAAGTTTTCCGGCATAAAAGGACCTACAGAAACGATTTTTTCAACCAGAATAGCTCGCTGGATTATTTCGAAATGCAAACCTATCTACCATGTCAATTGAGTAATTATTAGTCATGATTTTAAACGACTATTCATAGATAAGAAAAACAAATTAAAGAAGTGAAATCGATTCTAATCCTTATGATTGGTTTTTCGTTGTAGATTGATTCTCACGTGAAGTACTTTCAGTAATTCTAGCTTTTAGTAATCTGTTAATATAATATCAAATTGAGTTTTAAAAAAGTCTGCTATATACATACAAACATCTCAAAGGTGATGGCTTAGTAAAGATGAAGTTAATAGACCATTTCACATAATGCTTTCAGTATCTGTTTCTCTTATTCAAGAGGTCCTTATTATCAGTGAGTGATCTAATATTCCAATTACAAACAAGTAAGAGAAAGTAAAAGTGTTTCTGTACTTTATTTAACCCTTTAATGTCTTTTACTCAATTGTATTTTAATTCCTCCTTTTATGTATTGATACTTTATAGGAGTCAAAACGTATATGTCCATTCTTAAGTTCAATAAAATATAATAATTTACAACTGGGTTATGTCTTATTTCAAGGTTATACATCTTATTTTGAGTGGAGTATTGTTCAACTTGAAGACGTGAAAAATAAGAAAAATTTCATTTTCTTTTTCACTTGTTTATTTACAGTTTGCACAGAATTGTAAACTATTGTACTTGACTTTTGTTATATGCCTACTAGGCTTCTTTCATTGAGCTCATAAAAGGAATCCTGCAAAAATGTAGTCAGAAAGTGTAACTGATGAGTTGCGTAAGTTTATCCTATTTGATGAAATAATAAAGGTAATAAAGCTAAAAGTTGGCCGTCACAGTGTGTATAAATAGCAACATTTTACTTGTTAGAATTTATCTTTATAATTATTTTTATTACTCTTTGTTTAATTCCTTAACAATTTATCCTCTTTGCTTTGTTCACTCCTACTTGCTTTTTTTACTCTCTCCTGTTTTGTTTTCGTGTTTTATTACCAATGATAATTGATATAATAGTCAGAAATTAGGTCAGTGGAAGCTTAAATTAAACAATAAATTGACAAAGTTGAGCTAGTCACCTTTCGTGAAAAGCAGTCTCTGATAATGTACATTAATATAGCGCCAAATAAAAGCGACTGTGAAACTACATTATTTTATTTTTCAATGAAGATTTCATAAATGAACTATTAAAACTTCTTTTTTTATAAGTAATAATAAATGTGTTTTGTTGATGAAATATGTTCAGATCAAAGGAAGGCATACAAAAGTGACAGTGATATATCACAGTGAGTAGAATAATTATCAGGGTAGTGATAATTTAATCCCACTGCACTCAGTTAACAGACTTTATCACAGTTAAATAAGGCAGGTTCAGTGAAGGTAAGATTGGAACTGACTGGTAGCATAGGCGAACAAGTGTTAGTGAATTTGATAGAATCACATATATCAAGTTTCAGAGATACTAAATACCACTTGGTAATACTGAGTAACGAATTTATCATATTTCATTAAAAATTTGATACAGTGATTAGAAACTAGGACAAATTACATGTTGAATCGATGCCCTTTGTTTAATCTCAATCAATGAAGTAAATGTTCCGAAAAATGTTTGTTTATGTATATTTTGTACTAATTTTCTTATATATATAGTACCAGTAGTTACATGCGTGTTGTTTGTAACAGGACTGGTCAGAGATTTCCACGACCTGATCCAACTCAAAACTCTAAACTGCCCAAATTTCACGAACTTTCTTTAGGTATTTAAACTTAAAGGGAATATAAGCACTTGATTTGATGCAACGACGTTACATAAGAATGCATTCAGTTTCGTGATTCTCTGGAAAAGAGTCGAGTGGACACAATGTTAAAATACCTAAGTTGTTGTAAGCTGCCAAGTAGTCAGATGTACTCAATGAAATATGCAGACTATGAGAGCAGCTTTAATAATTTTAGAAATCGACTAACCCTGTGAAGTCTAAAAACTATTTTTTCATTAAAATATTTGCAATATATTTGAGAGTAAGCTTTTGTGAACACATGAAAGAATATAAAAGATTTATATTTTTCGTTGGATTGTTGGAACTCTAGATAACCAGACATGCGATGAGATATATTTTTGAATGTTATCTAACTGGAAGCCAGTGGTTAAGTGAGGGTAATTCACTACCCTACACACGGGTATTGTGCTTATTCGGAGTAACTATTTGTAGGCATAAGCAACTCTGATAAACTGAAACCAGTCAATAGCATTCTGTATGTCTATTGTACTTCGCAAATATTATTAAACCAGTATTGTTTCTAATGTCTTCCACTTTTAGCAAATAACATCTATGTATCATCGGAGTACAGTGAAAAGACAAAACAATAATGCAAACCAGTAAACAAATAAAAGCGAATTATCATTTCATACTTGATTTAATTTTGTCGTTAAAATCTGTTCAGGTCTTCTTGTTCTTCTTCTTGATTGAACATAGTTTGCTGCTTCAATTAAATTCTGTGTAGAATCAATGTTTAGACTGAATTCAGGACTACTTTTGTCTTTTGATGTGACCAAATTACTGACTTCCTGATACTGGGAATCCAGGTATAAATCAGAAGGAAATGTCTGTTGGACATCAGGTGATAAGGAGCTCCTGAAATTGTAAGAAACGTAAACTATAACATTAATTCTCTTGACTTCACTTTTTTACTGGTTATACATCTATTAGTAATAAATGGAACAAAAACATCAAAGTACCACTTCGCTTGAAATCATCATATTAATAAAGTATTATGCAAATGCTTTTACTTAAATATCACTGAGAATTCAGTTGTTCTGAAATTTATTTAATTTTCAAATCCCTAGCTGACTACATTTCACGTCGTTTTACGTAATACTGGAATTATATATCTGACCTTTAGTTTTTTGAATTAAACGAATTTCTCCGTGACAGTTAGTGCTGCTTTCTCAGCTAATAGGCTACTGATTTTAGCCTTTCGCACGTATTACGCAAGGTTTTTGCAACTGAGTGATATCGTCATCTTTCACAAGAAGTTTCACACCAAATCTGTTTCATAAATTTACACATTTTAGGAAGGCTTTAGCTTCTTTCTTCTTTAGGTAATTAACTGAATTGAAAAATTTTGAATTCAAAGCTGAAAATGAAATAATTTGCAATAATAACCGTAATGCGTTTTTTTACATAGGTGTAAGTGGTGTGTGAAAACGTTTAATGAATAAAATGTAGCATACTAATGGCCAGCATAGTGATAAATGAATTTTACCTTTTCAGTTGGTGTTAATTTCTCCTGGCCATATTATAAAATTATCACATTTTTATCGCTATACAATAACATAAAGCAGTCATATGGAATCTGAAAAGTTGTTAATTAAATTTATTGTAAAGAAGTGCATCTGAAGAAGACATCTTTAAATCAGTGTGAAAATTTATCAGGATATTTTTCAAAACGGTCAGATTATTGAAATTTAATTATATCATTTGTTTCTCATTTAGTCACAGGGGAAATCACCTATGCATTGTTGAAGTTGATAATAAGTCCGGATAGTATGAGGTTATTCTGATAATACAGCTATGATAACAGCAGTGTTTTAGTCATGTCTGTTCACGTATTTACGAAAAGGCCTGCGTGTAAAAGACGACAACTTTGTGTATTTCCTAGCGAAAGATTTCAAAAGGTTTATCAACCTAAACTACCACTTGTTTTAAAATGTAGCCACTACAAGTACCAAATCGTTGTACAAATAAGCAATTTCACCAAACACTAGGAATATATATAGCAGGTTATGAAGAATAAAGTTATCAAGTGAAATACACTTTTGGGGGTTTATGTTTCACTACCTTTCATTTTCATTTTGCATGGTAGAAAAATATTTCGATTTTGTCTAGGTGCGTAGCATATAAGCACTGATATAAAGTAATCAGCGATGAGGCTGGCTAACGCCTTGAGTACAGTCAACTGAGGGATGTGAGCCATTATATTACCTGCTGTATTTGAACTCTGCGTATTATTATTATTATCTTAAGGGATAAATAGTAATAAATTTCACCAGTATTTGACTGTATTCAACACGCTGTTTTACTTCTATACTTTCATATACATTAAGATCACGTTGCTTTACACTAATTTACTTTATTTATATCTGTCCTAGCATTAAATACACCAATATGGGTTTTCATTTCAAGTTTAATTTAATTGTTAGCGTCCAATTTTCTCTTCACAGAAACCTAAACAACATAGTAGTTTGACGGACAGCTTTGCATAGTCTAGACTTTGTATGCTGTCAATTATTTGAGGTGTGTTTATACAACCTCGATAAAATGATAAACTCAATACGGACTAGAGTATTTCTTGTCTAGAAGTGAGCTTAATTCTCTCTTTTAGAGATGAAAATGTAAAAATGGCCTATTTTGCGCTTTTAGATTTCAATTTATGTTTAGATATGGACTGTGGTGAGGAAAGTAAATTATCTGAATTCATAAGTACTTTTGTTTGCTCTGCTACCTAGTGTATTTACAGGTCATTCTTTAATGCAAATGTTCATGAGCCTATGATTAATTATAAAACTGTGCTATTCAACAGTGTTGTTCTTTAGTGTCATTCATATTTTAGCTGGCAGGTGAACATATTCCCTAGGTGAAGTTCATTCAAAAAATAACGGAACGTTATATTAAGCGTTATCATTTAATTCGTCAGGAGCTTCTTGAAAGAAATTTTGTATAATAGACACTGGAAACGGAGACTTTCTGGAAGGTTTTTTATGTATCTACACATTAAAGTCTTCATAAGAATGATTTTCAGAGTAATTTTATCTGTTTTATGTACTTCTTATTGTCTTCTCATTTTATTTCATTTCCATGTGAATACAGTTGAGATTAGGATTTTTAGAAACAAATCTTATTCCTATAAGGCTGCAGAATAGAACTTTGCCATAGATCAATCTATGTTCATGCTAAGCTAGATAGTAAGATTATATGATTGAGGTAGGTAGATTTTTTAAAGAGGACATGCCATTTTCAATAGTTAGTTAAAATACATAAAATTATTTCTTCAAATAATAAATATCATGGATGCGACTAGTTAATATACATGGTATGACATCGTAGTCACGGTTCACTTTTCATCTCCCCCTTTTACTAAATAAAGCTTGACGTTCATAATACTATTTACAATAAATTAACACATAAAACCATTTAATATTGACTTACCTGGAACGATCAGTCCCATTCAAAGTCCAGGAGCCTAAGGAAGCTGTTGGTGTGAGGGAAGTTTTAGTTGAATATGCATTCGAAACATGGATGATGTGTGGTAAGTTATTAGATAGTACACTATTTGATGCGGATGAGGTTAAATTTACTGAAGCACTCATGATATGATTGATACAGTTTTTATAATCTTCAGGACATTTGTCAGTGTCAGTATAATCATCATCGTGCAAATAATTATCTGTGATAAGCTGAGGATGTGAAAAACGCATTTCATTCTTTATATTAATATTATTATTAATATGATTACGTTTTTTCAAATGATTATGACGATGATAATGATGTCGTAGCTGGGCACGATTGAATATTTCATTTTCAGGCAAGTTAAACAGGATTAGTTTAAAGTTTGCTGAAAATTTCAGCTTATTTAATAAAGCTAATAAATGTGTAGAAAAGTGTAAATCATAATTTAAAGGGAAATATAAATTGGGGAATGGTGAAGATATGTTTAACTTTTGCAAACACCAAAGTGAATTTCGACTTTGTAGTATACGTATTAATTCTGGTAAATGATAGGATCCAATCTGCAGAACAATTTGATTTGTATGTTTACATAAGTGGGAATTCATGTCTGTTTTGCGGAAGTTTAAAATATATGGAAATGGATTACAACTGAGGGATGAAGGGGAAGTTGGCGAAGAATAGGAAGTCTTAGTGGAACTGTGATCATCTATTGGACTTAAACAGGATAGGCTTAATCCCAATTCTGATATTGACCAGTGCTTGGTGGTGGCATTTAAAGTTTTCATCCCACTGGCATGATGGGTTGTTGAATTTGTCTCTCGTAGCTTTACATGATTGATAGTACCAACAACTTTAGGCTCATAGGTATTAAGATTTTCAACATTATTGAAACTGTTTGTGGTGTTTTTGACTTTGATTGTAGTTTGACAACACTGAAAACAGGCAAAGTGAAAAGAAACACATGATATGGGTAGATTATTTGAAGACGTAGATACATTTATTATATCGAATCTTATTCGTGAGTTTCTTCCCAAATGTATATTCTGAAAGTCTGAATTACTATGTGAATATTCGCAAATTCAACAGAATCTGAAATTTAGTTAAACCTTATGAAATAAATTACCTTTTAGGTACTGCTATTAAATTTGAATAGTCACTTATCTTGATCAATGATCTAATTATATAATACTTCACTTATAAAAAATAAGTCATGTGTAACTCCACTTTAAACAGTCAGACCAAAATTTGGATTCTCATCTTAATACAAAGTTTGTAAGTCCAGCATTAGTGACCGTAAATCATCTAAGTACTTATTCAATTTCATGGATTCTGAGTAAGCTACGGACACAATAATGACAAATAATGATACCTAGTGACTAAATTGAAAATACTATACTGTATGGGATCAGTTTTTCAAGAGTTTAACTTATTCAGATTTAGTCTCATGTTATATTTATTTCTAACTTTGGTTTTTCTAAAATTCATTCATTTTGGATTTAAGGCACTGAGGTGCAAGCAAATGACACCAGAAAATCATAAATAAACTAATATTTTTATCACCTAACTTGATTTTAATTAGACACCATTCAAACAGATTGAAGTATGCCCTAAATTTGTCTATCATTCTTCAAGAAAGGATAGTGATAAGCAAATAAAAACGTTCGTCTATGAAACACTATTACGGATTCATTCTATAAGCAGCTAGTGGTAAGCTGCATTAACAAGTTACGAATGATTCCATTTGTAATTGATATGTATAAAAAATCTGGATAATGCTGGGGCTTCTGAAAACAGTGCTAGATGAAGTCAGACATGATACCCTTTTTGTATGCAGCATATATTTAAACATCATGAACTTGAGTAGTCATCAAAGAGAAATTATGTTTTATGAGGATAATCGTAGGCAAATATGTCATGTTATTCATAGTTTATATTAGTTAAGAACTACTGAAAGTGTATGAGGAAATCATGAAATGTCATCAGTCCACACATTAGGTGCACGATAATTTCTATAAATCCTACGATAGATGTCCCACATAGACGTTAACCTAACTAACCATTCTTATTCTCATAACCTTGAACTGAGCCTCTCACACCTACATGTACCGTAATTACGCACAGGACAGATTTCTCACAAACTGTTTAAAATGTAGAGAGATTTGGTGCACAATTATTGATACCCTGGTCCCTAGGATGTTTAGTAATTGAGATATTCTCAGATTTCAAATAATCTCAAAGGATTATTAATCTACTAGTTTTGTTTGACACCTTAGTTATCTTTTGCACGAATTTTCGATAATTCAAACATAAAAATTTCAGTTTTGTTTTTACTAGAAATTGTCGCTCAAATACAAATTAATCATTATAAAACACTAGATTCTCACTTAAATTAGGCGCTATAACCAGTTAAATCATATATCTTTACTCCATGAGAAGGTTTAGGGAGATTGGTTAAACTGAAGTCGTCGTACCTACCAATCATTTAAACAACAAAGGCGGTTTCTGAAAACTAGCTAGTTAACTATTTAAGGGTACTCAGGAGGATGCCGTGAATAGTATATGGTTAGTTAACAAACACTGTTATACGACAGTAGTGAAGTGCTGTTGTCTGTTGTCCACTAGTTAGGCTTTCCATCACAATATACTTTGCTTTCCAATTTTATTGTTTCATATCAAAAAGTCTGTAAGGCTTTATTTATTCACTGTTTACTTGATCTTATGTGAAAGAAATTCATAGGTGAGTCTGTCAAATAGTCATGCACTTAATATATCTATCCACCTTGATAATTAATGGTCTTATGTATTATAAATTTAGTAGTGAAAACATACGCTTGTTTTATTTTCAGTATAGTACCTTTTTCAGGTGAACATGGTGACGGACATTAAGAGTCAATTGATATAAGCCTTTTTATTAGTTGAATGAATTCATGCATTAACTTGTTGAAGATAAATGAAGGTGTTTGTTACAAAAACACATCAACAATCTAACTTGAATCTGTACGTGTATATGTCTTACAAATAATGGGCAAGTGAGTTTCAAAAGTTGTAATTATTATGTGTTAAATAACAAAATAATATAACTAACATGATAACATTGTATTTTGTATGATTTTTCTAAAGGTTGGTGCATTTTATATAAAAGGTAAGACGATTATGAGGTTAAAATAAAACCAGTGTTCTGTTAACGAGAAGAAAACAGCTATGGAAGTATTTATCATAACCTGAGAGATTAATTATATCCAGAAAAGTTGAGTAAAGCACTGAGGAGTATTACTAATTCAAGACATTATGTCTTAGTTCATTTTAAATTATAACAAATTAACAGTTTGCTGATCAGAATACCTCCCTAATTTTGGTTGCACTAATGAAATTTAGATAAAATTACCTCGAGTTATTAATATCCTTTGTTTCTGTGTTTAAGCTTTTTATGCACACTGCTGATGTAATCAGTTTTATCTTCTGCAATAGTGATCTTTTTATTCCTCTAAGTTCCCAGTAGAACGTAAGGCTTCTGTATGAGTGATGGTTATTTTTACAGGGTGGTGTTGCTAGCCTCATGCCCAACCTTCCCTCTTTACAAGTCTTACTACTCATTAAGCGAGGTAAAGGAGTGCGTCAACCGGGGATAGAACCCCGAAGCACCTGCGTGGTTGGCGAGCACTCTACCTCTGTGCCACCGATGTAGTAGTGATATAAACTTAGTAATTAACAGTTACAAGGGTTATCGCATTTACCCAAGTGTTATTGACGTAATTGTACAGAAAAATCAACCGACGGATACATCCTAAATATGAACGGTAAATAAAAAACAATCAGATTTCACTTCACACCTACATCTGATGGCATCTACTTTTATGCGAACTACGAGAAACTGATTATTTATCCTTTCTTTAATAAATCTGTCTATTTTTCTTAGGTTAGTGGATGTAGAAATTTCATTTTCTGATGTTAAGGCGAAATAAGTGATACAACTGTTGAAAAACAAAGGGGTGAAATCAGCTACTTTCAGCTTGAGAAAAAAAGATTTTATTGAGATCTATGTAAAACTCATATTTGTCTATTATTTCAAAGCATTATCAAATTTATGGGACGCTGTTTAACTCAATGTTTACCGATAACTGCTCAAACTGAAATGAAAACTTTTAGGGATGTATTATAGAGTCATGCTAAGCACATAATACATGAATGTATCAACACAGCGCTAATCTTTTGTCAGAGGTTCATTTTAAGAGTAAAGGAAGCATGAAAATCGGTCAAGTAATAATGAGTTATGAGACAACAGTACACAAATAAACTTGTGAGAACAATTTCTTGGGAAAATAACTCAGCAGTTGAAATCATTCATGGGTAAACATGCCTTGATGATTTCAGAGAATGAAATATTTTTATGACAGTAAAAGTGTTTCAAATTTCCAACAAGACAGAGACTTCCGAAATTCATTTATTTCAACTCATGCTACACAATAATTTATCAAACGCGTGCACTTATAGTCTGAATATACATGGAAACCAAATCACTGACATACTTATTAGGTAGCATGCTAACAAAATTATATTGACTGGCTTATACACAAAATACAGAGTGAGATAAGATATCATATAGGGATCAAATGTGGGACTTTCAGCTTAACATTTAGTCACTTGGGCTAGAACTCCTATCATCTGAATTTTATTGAAACTATTTTTAATTTAGTTGCTTACATATGTTTTACTTTAGTATGAAAACAAAATTGAATCGAAGTGTTTAGCAGATTTTGTTTGGAGCGACGTGTCATTTAAAGGTGTGCCATTTATACAAGACAGAAGTAAAGAAATAACACGAAAAGTATTGAAATATGTGAAAGTTGTTTGAAGAAAAATAACAGTGAAATGTCTCATTTAAAGACGGAGTAAAACCAAAAAGTGGTAGTCTTTTAGAATAGTGTTATAAATAACTAAACCAAAGAAAAAAGAATTTTAAAGGGTAGTTTTGACTACCTACTTGTGTCGTGTTATACCATTCTCAAGGGGTAGGGTTTTATAAATTACTATTATTAAAAAGATACTGATTTGGAAATATGTACTGAAAGTCATAAGTAATGAAGAGTGAAACTGTTTCCTGATGCAAAAGTTATTTAATAATTTAAGCTGCAAGTCATGCAGTAAATAGCAGTGGTGATATATTAGTAAAGCCAAAGACATCGATGATAACAAAAGTAGGTGGAGGTGAAGGGAAGAAACAGGATAATAATGCAAAATTAGAATTTTGGCGCTTCGGTAGAATATAATTCAACATTAGATAAGTTCGTCTGATTGAACATTCGTTTATAAAATGATAATATATGGATAATGTTTCGATAGTAATTTATCGTTCAGAATTATTTCACTGGATTTAACTAAAATTCCTAGCTTACTTTATAAAGTTTTAATCCCTTCTGTTACTTAATATATTTTGCGATAAATCCAAAACTAGAGTTGTGTCATGCTATTGTATGTACTGGGCGTCGATCCGAGGAACTGTGAGTAAACTTTCTAGTAATTTTATTCTATTCAACCCCATTGTTGTGGTAGTATGCCAGTGAATGCAGTGACCTAGATTTTTTTTCTAAATTAGTTCACCTAGAAGGGTCAGTCATTCTGGATGCAACTAAATTCCTATATTCAAATAGCCTAACTCAGATGGATCTACTGGTGTGAACGATGTATCTCATCTCGCAGTCGATAAAAGAATAGGACATGGGCACCGTGACAGACCGGAGTTCCTTCATAAAGTAAATTTATTTGATAAAATCACATGGTAACACAGTATTATTAACTGATGATGTTTCGAGCACAATTTATTGCTCATAATCGTATCGAAGCACTCAAACAACTTTCAAATTGCGTTTATAAAATTCCATTATTTCTTATCCCTTCATCTGCTTGGAAAAGAAATGACTCACCATCAATACTA